CTCCGTATGTACTAGTACTAGTATTGGGATGTGATCATGTGATCGATGATGTCGACGGTTACTGGTGATCGGTTTAAGGACGGGGGTTTGAAGGTTGGGTGTTGTTTTGAATACTTTACGGTAGGTGTTGTGTGATGTTTGATAGGTACTTTTTCTTTTGGTCCTTGTACTACGCATTGCGAGGTCTGTAGGGGTTGGACGGCCAGTCATGATCTTAACTCCGGCCATGTAGTTATCAAGCTGGGGAATGCTAGAGTCATCGCCTTAGATATCGCAGTGATATTGTCATATTATACACATGCGGGAAAAGAAGGGCAGTCATGCACGTCAATCTTAATGCTTGACCGTCAGTCACTCGATAAAATTTCCTGTTATACTGCCAAAGGAAAATGGGCTCCATCGCGAGATGAGAAACTACAGCTATTGCGACTCCAAAGTACCATTGACCAGCGGCGCAGATTGGCCTTCATCTTCCAGGACAACTTGCCAGTCCCGTACGCCTCCTTTCCAGTCTGCAATTCGACCCTCACGTACCCGGACGGTGACCACCCGGACGTCATCGTCGATAGCGATGCTGGGCCTCCGTTGGCCGGGTTGTTGCGGCTGCTGCTGGCCAAAGAGCCCCATTTCCTCCTCGAAAGTGTTGTTCTCCAGATGCTGCTCTTTGCACCAAGCCTCCTCCTCAGAGCCAGGCTCCAGCACACGGGCCGAACCGGCGATGGTAGTAGAGATACTTGATAGTGCGCTCGTGTTCAGGTTCAACAGGAGACTGGCCAAGGACGAACGGGTTGCGGCGGGAGGCGGGGATCCGTCGCGCTGACCTCCGGGGTTGGGTGCACGAGTGGGCGGACGGTGTGACACCCAATCGTGGACAAGCAGGGAAACATGCGGATTGGTCAGAAGATGATTAGTCTTGCGAGAGGAAGGATTTGTAGTCATGATAATCGTTGGATACTGGTCGTAAGGCGTCGAGGGCAGGTAGGTATAGGACATGAGAGAGACATGAGGGGTCAGACCGTCACATGTTGCCAGGTGAAGCTAGCGACAGTAAGTCATTGTCTTCATAAAATAACCAAAGACCAATCCAAATCAATTTGTAGAGCGGAAACCTACAAATCGTGAATTCTTCAAGCATGCGATGACCTCTTGGGGCAGCGTGGTGGCCACATGTGGATGGGTTGTCGTGGCTGATGCCTCATATGAGAGGGGAGGGTTCAAAGTATCCGTCATGGCGTCTGCGCAGCGTATACGATACTAGTCATATAATGTTGTACAATGTTCACACAGAGGTTCCGATCGTCGATCTTAGCTGTCGATACAGGCTGAGCCGCTAACGAGAGGGAAAAGCGAAGCGTTGTTCCCGTGAAGCTGTGGCGGGGATTCGACGGTCGTAACCGCATTGAGCCGGAAACACTAGTCCGCTTCGGCTCGGATCAAGCTCGGACCATTTAGCGGTGGTTGCTTTCCCTTCGACGTCATTGGGTATTTGAGCTCTTTATGGACAGTAATGCTACGTAGTAGTTTTTGGAAGTCCGTGGTAATAGTACTTGGTACTTGTAATTATCCCCTTGCTCCATGTAGACATACTCCTGCAGATCCTAGGTGGCTTAGTTTGCCCCCAATATTAGGAAAAGATGAGCTGGACAGTTGTCTCGTCATGTTTGAGATCAATAGACGTGGAGGAGGATAAGCATCGTTTTCGTCATAATAACCTAAGTTATGGAGCAAACCGCATTGCAGATCGGCGAGAACGTAGCAAATTACAGAACATGTCTGTTGTGTATGAGCGACCGATAATGTCGGACTTATTGTTCAATTGCAGCTGGTTCATACGTTTCTAAGTAGTGATTGCAATTGGTGGCGTTGCTCCTCCAAGCAGCCCAATCCGCAAGCGTGGCTGTACTAAGTACTCCGTACTCCTAGTAGTATTGGGTGTCGTGACTGCCAGAGTCAAGACTTCTTCCCCGCACTCAAGCTGTTTCCCCAGCTTTCGCCTTCGACCTTCTTCCACCTCCCATCCTATCAGCTCTTCCATCTTCTGCAATCCGTGTGTCACTTAATTTACTAACTCTGCAACCTGTCGCGATCTGTGGGCAGTATCCGGCAGCCATTGTCTGGATTTACTCTTCTCCGCCTGATCATCGCTGACGAACAAACTAACTGCTCTCATTTGATTCGAGTGTAACTCCTGCAACACCTCCCTTTTAACCGTTCGGCAAGCCATCGCGTGTCGACAGCAACCTTACCCCTGTCCTTCGTCTGTGCTTCCACATTGTCCCCCTCTCTTAAATCCCCTCTTGTATCCTCTTCATAGCGTGCCTACTCGTTGTCACCTCGCTGTTGTCAACTTGCGTCGCTGCTAACCAACTGTTGTGGTTGTCCTGTTTTGAAAGTTGCCCTTTTTTCTGTTCTGTCAGAAGCATTTGTCTTAGCATTTTTTTATCTCATCTGCACGGTATTTTGTCTGTATACGAATAACAAGCATGCTCGCACAACGCATTTTCCGACCGGTGTCCTCGCTGGTCCGGCCTTTGAGCTCCTCTGCTACTGCCTACCGCGCTCCATCCATTCGCGACATTACCCCCACCTCAGCCGAGGAATTTGTTGCGCGTCAGAAGGAGTTCCGCGAGAATTTGGAGGTGGCTCGCAAAAGAAAAGAACAGCAAGAGAGTCAGTCTGTCGATGCCTCTACTTCTGCCTCATCATCCCCTGTGTCCCGTGATCGCTTCCGTGAGTACGCTACCGCTCCCACTGCTCCGGGTGCGAGCAATGCGAGCAGTAACTATAGCCCTGCTGTCTTTGACGCTGCCCAAGTTCTTGATAATAAGGCATTGGGCTCACTTTCTACCCACCGTATTCTAGGAGAGGAACAACAGCAAGAAGCCAATCAATTGCCTAAGCGCGGTCCCTTGTCTTCGCTCATCTACGGAACGAAGGAAGGTCAGCAACTTGACAAGGATATCGAACGCTCGTTCTCCCAAGTCCTCGCTCGCGGCAAATACGTTCACTCGATCGTCTTCCACGAGGTCAAGCCCGATAGAGTAGACGAATATGTTGACTTGGTAGGGCAGTGGTACCCCCGCATGGCCGGCACTGAGGAAAACAGGGTGAATCTGGTGGGAAGCTGGCGGACGCAAGTGGGGGATAATGACACCTTTGGTATCTCCAATCAAACTTGATCCTTTCCCGACCCCTTGCCATGTCTGTGGAGTCAGAGTGCTAACACTAGCTCTGCAGTCCATATCTGGGAATACCAACGGTATGAGGGCTATCATGCATCCCTCCACAACATCTCCCGTCATCCGGAGTTTCCTGCATTTGACCGCAAGCTGAAGAGCTTGATCAAGAGCAAGAAGACGTCGCTGATGCAAGAATTCTCGTTCTGGCCAACGACCCCACCCCGACGACTAGGCGGTCTTTTTGAACTCCGATCCTACACTCTTCACCCCGGTAACCTTTTGGAGTGGGAATCGCACTGGCGAACAGGCCTCAGGCTCGCCGCGAAGTCATGGAGGGGGTTGGCGCCTGGTTTGTTCAAATTGGCGACTTGAACACTGTGCACCACCTGTGGCAATTTGCGAATCTTGAAGAACGCAAGATTTGCCGGGAGCAGTCATGGGGTATCGAAGGATGGGCAGAGACGGTGCACAAGACTGTCCCTCTCATCCAAAGCATGCAGAGCCGGATTCTGATTCCTATGCCGTGGAGCCCCGTTGGCTAAATGCATTGTACTCCATAGTCCAGGTCGATGTGCGATGATAGGCAAGGTCCTCAGGAAGCGCCCAGTCCACGGCGAGTACTCTACCGAAGGAAACCGAGTATCAAGGTTGTGGATGGACCGAGATCAATGGGGCGCAAATACACTGTATGGCTTGGAGAACAGAGTCCGCCGATCTCTGGGGGAAGAATGTAACGGTTGCTCCAAGTTTCAGGCATTATTTACGGAGTACGGAAAGCTTGGTCGCTCCACTATCCACTATCGAATTTCAACTAAAGCAGCCATAGGGCTCTTAGTGTATCCAATCCGCACTAGCATTATCGTCATTTCGTTTATCATTGTATTTAGAAATGGATTCGGGAACATCGTTCCACTGGTCTTTTCTCCAAGTTTACGTGTATCACATTACTTCTTTCCCGATGGATTCATATGCTGCCTCGGGTTGCTACTAGCATGCTTTCTCTACCCCTCTTTTCTCTGCAAATGATGGACGACGATCAGGCAAGTGACAACCATCTGTGCGATGCACCGTGGTCTTGGGAGATGACCCGGTCCTCCCAACAAAAATACATCCAGCGAATGAGAGGACACACGTGGGTTGAGGAAGCCGGCAGAATTTCTCCACCAAACTTCAATTCTGACGACTCTCGTAATTCGATGCGGATTCCTTTGCGACTCCCCGCGCGGCATTTCTGCAACAGCGGTTTTTGACCGGCAGAAAAAAAAGAAAGTAATTAATGCCTGCTAAAAATTTAGTACTAAAAGGGAACATCAATCAACAAGAGCTGCGCGTATCCTGTTTTTCTTTCGTCTCGTTCGTATTTCGCTTCTTCCTTTTGTCTTTGGCTTCCTTTTCTATCCTTGGATCTTTTCGACAGCCCAACACCTACTCCCAGACTTTCCCTTGTCTCTAGTCCTGTTCTTTCCCCCTTTCGGAGTGACACCTTGCCTTACTGTCCTTAATTTCACCGCTATCTTTGTAAAGCCCCAAGGCCCCAAGCAAAAATCTTTCTTCCCACCGTTCTCTTCGTAGCCGGACGGACAAGAAGAGTTTCTCCCTGGAGAACAAGACCAACGCAACATGGTGTACATCCGGGAGCATCAGCTGCCCAAATTGCGGGAATACCGCTATGCGGGCGTCGACCACTCGCTAATAAGCCGATATGTCCTGAAACCATTCTATAACAATATCGTGATCAAATGTTTCCCCATGAGCATGGCGTGAGTAGTGACGCTTCTTCATTCCCGCCGGTATCCGGCCTGGCTAACAGCCTGCTTGCCTTAGTCCTAACGCCGTAAGTCTTTAATTCTCCGACTCATGGCAAGAACGGGAATTAACCGAAGACTGGTAGATCACCTTAACTGGTTTCTTCTTTGTGGTAATCAACTTCCTCACGATACTATGGTACAACCCTACTCTAGACCAAGACTGCCCATCTTGGGTTTATGCCAGCTGCGCCGTGGGATTGTTCTTGTACCAGACATTTGACGGCGTAGACGGTATTCAAGCGTACGACCTCTCTGCCCGTCTCTTGATAGTTGCACAACGCTAATCCGGTCATAACAGACGGAGAACTAAGCAAAGTGGTCCTCTGGGCGAGTTGTTTGACCACAGTGAGGCAAACCTACCCTTGGATGGCAACCCGGTACTAATTCATCTTTCAACCTACAGGCGTTGATGCGTGCAACACCGCTTTGGGAGTGTTGATCTTCTGTGCAGCAATGAACTTTGGCCAGTCATGGGCTACTGTTGTGACCCTTTGGGGATGTACGTCGTACTCTGTGCCAGGTAGTAGTCAAGAGGCTAACGTGAAATAGCAACCATGACATTCTATGTTCAGACCTGGGATGAATACTACACCCAAGTGCTTACCCTCGGCATTATCTCTGGCCCTGTGGAGGGTGTCCTGACACTTTGTCTGGTCTTTGGCCTCACGGCTTACATGGGAGGAGGTAGTTTCTGGCATCAGTCAATGCTGGAGACCGTCGGTGTTCCAAAGTTGGATGCCATCCCGGAGCAGCTGTACGACATGCCTTTTACGCAGTGGTATCTGGTCTACGGCGCGATTGTGCTCTTCTTCGCCACTGGATCGAGTATCGTGCATGTCATGCAAATTCGGAGAGAACGTGGACAGGACCCCATTGCACCACTATTTGGTCTCCTTCCCCTTGTTGCGGTGTGGACGTTCGTGCCGGCCTATCTCTATCTTCAACCGACTATCTTGGAGAACTACATGGTCCCATTTGCCCTTTACGTGGGTCTGGTCAACGCATACGCGGTGGGCAGGATGATCACTGCACACCTGGTCAAGGCCAGTTTCCCTTACTTCAACGTACTTCTTTGCCCCCTTGCTCTTGCTGTTCTTGACAGCGCTGGCTCCATTCTCGGTCTGTGGCCCAGCGTGCTTGGCGGTGGAGACGGTCAGATTGCATTCATATACGCGTGTCTCGGTCTGGCGATTGGTGTTTATGGAAGCTTCATCGTAAGTCCCTCTTGCCCCCACATGTTCCTCGACTCGAGACTCATCAGACCACAGCACGACATCATCACCACGATATGTGACTATATCGACATCTGGTGCCTTACTATCAAGCACCCCTATGTGGAGAAGCAAACCGCGAATGGACAAGTGGATGCAGTTGAGAAGAAGATGAGCTGAGAGATAGAGTGCCAAGATTTCAAGTGCATATCAACTATGCGAAGACTGCCGTCTCTCAGCTTCCCATGGTGAGTGTGTCATACACAGGTGAGAGTTTCTTTCCGATTTTAAGTTTGCTGGGTTCATGTTTCGGGTCAAAGCATTGGAGCGTTGGGTTGGCTTTCTGAATTGGGAGTCATGCTGTATAAAACTAAAACAAAGATGTCGGGCCATTCATCCTGCGATGCATATGGGCTGGAAACCTTTGCGTCACATGTGATGTCTAAATGTTTGATTAGGTTGATAGAACAATACTACCTTAATGTTGTAACGTGATCTTGGGGCAGAATGTCGAATGCCTGGTTGCCATATCGGGTCAAGGATCCATGGGACGAAAGGGACCGTACAAAGTACCGCGGGGGATAGCAGGGAGAGTAATGACGACGGCAACAATGCGATGGCTCTGGAAGAGTCCATTCGGGAAAGGACCTTTGGGAACCTTGAACGCCGTGAGGTAAGCAGAATGGCGGCCGTTGATTGGGGGAGATTCGAAACGGTACGGGGTAAAGCTGCCGGAGCCGCCAAGACTCCTCAAAGAAGTAGTGTTAGCGAGGGCTTGAGCCCTATTTTCCCAGAAAGGGCCAGTGGGTTGAACGGGAGCAGTGAATTCCCTTCAGAGTTTGCCCTCTCCACGAGACCACCTTCTTCGTTCCTCACCCTTCAAGCAGGCCATCTCCATCAGCGCACCATTCAACTTTTATCGCTGATCGACTTTTAGTCTCGTCAAGATGGTAGGTTCTACCCCGTTTTGCCCACCCATTACCTCGCGGACATCCCTTCGACATAAGCAAAGATAAGGAGTGCGACTCTGCATCTCGTGCTCGCCATCGCCGTCGCCTCCCGAAGCCCGCTCCCATCGAAATCATCCAAGGCCACGCTGCTAACCAGAATTTTTCTCCCCCGACAGGTTCTCGCGGTCGACCTTCTCAACCCTACGCCTCAGGCCGAGGCCCGCAAGCACAAGCTCAAGGTATGATAAGACACCAATTCTGGGAACCGACAGAGTTGGTGGGTTTGGATGGCTGACTGGTACCCTCCCGACGTTATAGCAACTTGTGCCTGCTCCCCGCTCCTTCTTCATGGACGTCAAGTGCCCCGGCTGCTTCACCATCACCACCGTTTTCTCCCACGCCCAGACCGTCGTCGTCTGCGCCGGCTGCTCGACCGTCCTCTGCCAGCCCACCGGTGGCAAGGCCCGTCTCACTGAGGGCTGCTCTTTCCGCAGAAAGTAGATGTCACGACGCAACCAGGCTGGAGCGATGATGAAAGACATGTGGCGTTTTTCGATGGATTAATCTAATCTTTTCTTTGAGCAAAACTCAGATAGAAGATGGAGTCCTCGCCCCCTTGCGAGAAAACCCCTCAAAAAATACAAAGGTTCGAAGGGAAATGAGAAGTACCCAAGCAGGCGCAGCCATTTCTATACCAAGTTTCCACCAAAAAGCGTACATGGAGGGAGTTCCGGATATCTGGCAATGATCGGTCCATACTATATCAACCTTTGCCTCTTTTTTGACTACTATCGAAACGTTGTTTGCTTTTATTCTTGTTTTATGCTGTGGGATCCGTACGACATGATCTTCTCCCGACACCTTTCCCGTCATGGAAGGATATGACGGGTGGATCCCACCATGGGGCATATCTGCATGAGCGTTGCCGGTTGATTCACGTATTCGGATGTCAAGGGATTTGAGTGTGGATTCCTCCCCTATGACGAAGATGAATAGCTGGTTGCTGGCATTGCTAGGACGGCGGATGTGACTACGGGTGAAACTTGGATCCAGTCCGGCAGATAGCGCTTGGTGCTGGCAGGATGTAGAAATACGGTCCTGTTGTAGGCTAGCCTATCTGATCCGGACGTTCAAGCCGTGTACATCCCTCGCTGCTATGCAATTGTATTCATGTTCCAGATTATCCCGTGGATTGCCCTTGTAGTACCCTTGTAGTACCCCTGTAGAGATCCCCGTAAATACCTGGTCCCACTGTAGAGTAGATGAACGCAGCCACTGCCGTACATTGCTTTGGACGGTGGAGTACTGTTTAGGCCACATCCGTCCTAGGCGTCTTCATCCTCTGTAGTATAGAGAGTTGGCTGCTCCACAGTGGAGCCTTTTTAAACATGTACTTCTAATTACTCCGTAGATACGCGCTTCCTATAACCCCCTCTATCTTCAATTCCCGGTCTCAATCTCCTTTAATTGAAGAACCTAGAATATGCAATATATCCGCGCCGGTGGTCTATTTCTAAATTCCGCTCGACATTCGGATGTTACCTGATTTTCATATGGAGAATACCGACTAGTTTAATATTCCCACGTCCCGTTCACACTAACATTGAACTAATCCAGACGTAGCCAGCAAATCCTCCAGGTTCTCTCCCATGTGGTGCAAACCCTGGGAATTAATTGGACGCTCGCAGAGGCCTTAATTTAAAGCCAACCTCTCTAGACTGACGAGGACTATTTAGGTAAGGAGGTAGCGTTGAGCGACAGGATCAATACTTGTATTGTCATCATCGTCGCTGCCGGTGTTCCTTGTCTCTCTACTATTCGAGAAGCATGGAATTTCCCTCGTGTTAAGTTAGCTTTGTATGCCGGTACATTATAGTATTCTTTAATACTCTATAAAAAACTTGTACACATCGACAACCCCGAAACGAAGTCAACCATGGCCATTCAGTTGCTTTCACAACCAAGCCCTAGTTTCAATTCCAACTAGATCCTATCTCATACACGCACCACGATTCCAAACAAACCAAAACATGTCCAAGCTTTAGACAGCATTAACCGCCTGAGCCTTCTGCTTGATAGAATCCCCAAAGTCAAGTGAACCTCCCCCCATCATGAGCATCATCTGTGCCATGGGCCCGCTGCCCTCGATCAGCTGTTCAGAAAGAACATTGCGGCCGCGGATATCCTGGAACTCTTTGACGGTGGCGGGGTCTGCCGACTGGAGCTTCTGGGCGTCGATGCTCCTCAGTTTGTTGTGGGTGTTGCGGATGAAGTCATGGATATAGAAACCCGTTGGGTGGGGTTGGCTGCCGGTCATCATTGGGTGGGATTCGATGGCTCTGTTTGAGATGGTTCTTGATTAGTTCATGTTGGTTGTGTTTACTATTGTTTTGTCTCTTTGGGGTTTGACGTATGGTAGAGAGGTAAAGAAACGAGTCGTGATGATGATATTGGTATAAGAACATACGCCAGGAGCTCGCTCATGCGGGTGTCGAGGGTCTGGATCTTGTTTGCGTCGGCCATTCTGGGTGGTTTTCGGGTTTATTGGTCTGATAGGAATACTGTGATAATCCTGATGATGGGATTTGGTATAGATGGATGTATTTGTTGATGTAACGCTCAAGAAATTTAAATTTAAAGAGGGGTTCAACTTCTTTTCTCCACTTGGTGGCTTATCTTATCGCCTGATTGGTACCTGAATGCGTTCTTCAGGAAATAAGGAATGGAGCCAGTCCAAGTTGGACTCAATTTTTAGAGGAGTACGGGGTATTGTTGTTTGTTTCTGAGTTTCGAAATCATGCTTAACGTGCAGGTAGGTATTTATGTATACACACCCTGGGCTGAGTGCGATTGTTTCTGGAAGTTCAGGAACACAGAATAATACTCGTGTCTCTCTTGAGTATACACTTCGCATGGCGACCTATAGTAATGCCTGAAACTTGCCAAGGAAAAGGAGTGCCAGGGCCACCCATTGGATGTATTCGGTGTAGTACTTTCGGTCTTGTTGTTTCGCAATATTCAGCCTCGGGTATTGTGAGCCACCTTCTCCAGGGACCTAAAAGTGCAGTGTATGCATGTTATCAAGATCTCTCATGCAGTATTCATTTATACATGATCTGGTGGACGTGTTCGCTTGTCATAGGTCCTTGCTGTATACTCCCACAGTGCATGATTCTGACGTAAGTGTATACCTTCAATCACATACATGCAAGTATGTGCCTTTGGGACAGGGTATCGAGAATCACTGAACTGATCTAGTATTTCAGGTACTCGGAGAAAAATACCACAGCTAGGATGAAACTCCAATTGATTCCCACGTCCTGCAATGCAGTGCCAAACTGGTCTGTTTCTATACTTACCATGGAGGGGGAAAATAATGCCACCCTTTCCCGCCTTCTTATCTTATCGATTCTACGATACAATTCCAACTAAACCATACTCATTCCCCGATCAGATCATCTCATCATCCCAACGAATCCTCCAACAACCCCTCCAAACCGAACCCTCCTCAACCCATTCCAACAAATAACCAAAAGAAAGAGAGAGGGAA